TGCCAGTGCCCCTCGCTCCCAACCCACAGCCCCCTGCTCCCCCCAGCCCTGCCATAGGGGGCTCCCACAACTACCCCTGTCCCAACTGGGCTGGAGCACAGCAGCTCCAATTTGTGCGGGTGATGGCAGAGCGAGTCCAGCCCCAGCGTAAGCTGGAAGGAAGATGCTTGTGGCACCCCCCACCCTGGGCTGGGGCTTCAGCTCTGCAGCAGGCTGCCTGGCCACATCCCTTCCTCCTACACCCCTGGCAGTGCCACAGAGCTCCCTGCTGTCCTCAAAGGGCCCCCTTGCCCCTAAAGGGGAGGCAGTAGCACCTCCCTCATGCTGTTGCAACCCTGGCACTCGGACATCTTCCCCCAGCCCCGCCCCTGCCTCCAATTGCCCTCCCCCCACTCACTCCAGCGGAGCAGAGCAAAACCCGGACATTGGTTCTTATTTCAAAAAAACGCCTGGATGGAGATCAGAGGACTCAAAAAAGTGACATGTCCAGGAAAACCTGGATGTATGGTAACCCTATCTGTACAGTCTTCTCCTGAAAAAAGTAACCAATGTCATCATTTAGCATCTATCATACTTAAAAAAACTGCTTTATATACTTGACAAATCATTATTTTCCATGCCTCTTTTCCACTCTTAGTGTATTATTGTTCTGGTCTTCTAAATTAAACTCCTCTAACAGCTCTGTCCTCTTCGCTCTTCTAAGGATTTCTTCTAGGTCTGTGTCTATGGAGCTGCCAGTACTGAAAAACTTCCATTGCCTTCTTCATTCACATGCAGGAAGGTTTTTCTCCTAAACACTGCTTGTTACTCAGCTGGTCCCTTCCACTTTGCTATTCTCTTTTTTCTCTGTACAGTAATACTTAAAAATGATACTTGATCCCTTTTTGTTAGTTTTGGCTTTTGCTGCATGGTATAATTTGGCATTCTGGTCAAATTTATCCGGAGATCTTTTTTTGATCTCGGACCACGCTTTGGGAGGGTTTGTCAGAGTGACACAGGAATGTGATTGTAATTACTAGGCTCCTGGAGTAGGATTTTAAACACTGTGCACAGTTTGTGGGATTCTCCGGTTCTTCGAATGTCAGTGCCAGCTGAAGTCACTGCTAGCTAAGCAGCCTGGATCAGGGTAATTTTACTTGGAAAAAATGAACTCAAATAAATTGTTCATCCTTTCCAAATGAAAAAAAAAAAAAAGATCTGATCTACTCTCATCTGGACTCTGGTATCAACTCTGCTCCTCTGCAAAAAATGCAGGGACTATATTTCACTATTTATAAATTTCACTATGGCATAAATTTGTTGGATTTTACTCTGTGAAAGAGAACATTTTTCACATACAGGCCAATTAAGACCCCATTACTTTCAGCGTTCTATTAAGACTACAACAGAGGAAACACCCCAAGGAAATAAATGGAGCGAGACAGATTTTGTGTTCTAGTAAGAAAAACTTGAGTCTAAGTTATCTCAGCAGAAAAAATATATATATATTTAACATATAGAGCACTCATAAACCCAAAATATCTACAAGTGGTTCCTCTACAAGGCCGGACTATTTGCTGTTCTGCATCTTCTGCCATCATTTATGCTACTGCAAAGTGTGTAAAATGTTCCCAGCTCGGGACCTTGGTGTTTCATGCTCATTTTGTTCTCACTTTGTACTGCTGCAAATGACTATTAAAGATACAGGGCAATGGAGAATCCACCCTTTAGTATTAACCTTGCCCTTTCAGAAGCAGAGGAGCATAAGCACATGCTTAAGTCTATTCCTATTGAGGAAAACATTTAAGCACCCTGACCTATCAGTCTGATCCCTTCTACCTGTACTAGAACCAAAAAGATTTCAGCATATCACTATCTACTGAGCTTTCCTGCCTGGTGGGTTACTGGCCATTTGCTTTGTGGACTATTCCTATTTTCACATGGAGGCCTTTGGCTTACCACATATATCTTGTAGATGACAGTAAATGCAGGATTGCCCTATGGTTAGAGATTTTAATCAGTTTTCCCATTTCAATTCTCCAGACTCCCAGAGACAAATAGCTAAAATGACATTCTTACCAAGGATGCAAAGATAGGCATGAAGAGGGTGGCCGTTGCTACATTACTGGTGCATTCGGTGAAGACAGCAGTAACAAATGAAAGTATCACTGCAATGGCCCAGGCAGGAACACTGTTTAGTGGTGACATCTGTTGACCCAACCATCTTGAAAGACCGGAAGCCTGTAACAACATGGGGTGTGTTTCAATAAGAGACAGAATGTCTTTGTCATGCACACTACCTCCGATTGTCTGTAACATATGGTTAAGCTGAAACTATGCATGTAAATGCATCGTCAATATTAGATCATTCATCCATCAAAACAATATTAAGCCACGGGTAGAGAAAGCACTGCGACATTTCCTGAATAAAGGAAACTCTCTGCCAGCCAGAAGTTACATCAGGGACTCACTACCCCAGTGCTCCCGGAATCCAAATATTTGCTCACATTTTGGTCAGAAGTACCAACGTCTTTGCCAAGTTGAAGCACGTTGCAGAGTTACACCCAAGACCCAGGGAGCCACGCAATCGCAGAGAGTTAATGAATCACTTGCAGGACTCATTGAATAAGACTTCCAAGATATTGTCTCAATCTTGTTACAGGAATATTGTCAAGGATTGACTAGATTGGCTCATAAAGCCTACTGTTTGGATCCAGGGCCAGAGGTTGGGGAACATTACAAACCCAGGGTTTTGGTTTGGCCTACTATTTAAAAATGACCCAGCCACAAAGTTTGGACTGGGATTGGAAAGTCCGCAAAAATTGACAGTTTGGGGATTGAGGGTTTTGGTTCAGACCCATCTCAGTGGCGGGGGAGGCAAGCCTTCATTTATTTCTGGAGCTGAATTCAACTCTGAATTCAGGAGCACAGGATCAGCCTGCTGGTCCACTTACTTCCCTCAAAAGGAAGGGTCAAGAAACAACACAGGAGAAGATTATGGAAAAACCTTTCCACAAAGACAGTGTTTCCTTTCTGACCACTTCACTTCATGCCCCATGATATGAAGACTGACATCCCTTTTAAACCAAATCAAGCAGTTCTGAAACTCAGAGATGCATTATCTGAGCTGCTCTTTTCTGGCCAGGTGTCGGATGGGGCAGGGGAAGGATTATATACACAAAGAAAGCCTCCTCTCTTGGAATATCAAACCAGGGAAAGAACAAGGAAGATTTCCAGGCTAATAGGTCCCCTCTAGGGGCTCTGGGGAGTTAGAGACACTTGGTAAAAGCACCCAGGCTCTTGGTGGCCATTCACTGAAGCTCCCTGACCACAACTAGAGAGCAATTCTATTAATGAAGAGAGAAGAGTCCCTGCTATGTCAGTACCTAGATCTGGATCTAAACATCTCTACCATTTAGGTATTATTACAATCCCAGGGTTCATTATAGGGCCCATTCCTAATAACAAGGGACCAAGGGTCATCCTTAGACTCAGTGACAACAAGGACGTACTTCACTTCCACGGGCCAAGGCGAAGCCCCCTCCAAGCAGCAGCACAATACTCCAGGGCAGCCTTCTCTGAACCACCTTCCACTCTAGCAATGGGGCTGGCAAGAACGGTTCTTTCATAGCTGAAGTGGAAACAAACAAAAGCACTATACGATTAGGAGACGAACACTTTGTTCTGTGCTCTGTGTGGGTACGTGCTGTTATCGTAGCTGCTACTGCTGTGCTAACACAATGATAACACCCAGTGACACATGGTCAAAGCCACAGGCCAGGTCAGGCTGGGGCAGAATCGTGAGAAAACTGTGCAGTTCGGATAC